TGAGGAGATTACATTTTAGGAGGAGGGAGAAGAAGAGACAGACAATAAGCAATGAATAAGTAAATTTTACAGTATGTTGCTTGTACCAAGAATCAATTTTTCTGAAGGAAAAATATTTAAAAAAAAGAGAAGCAGTAGCACTGGAATTGTTAGGTAGAACAGTTTATAGGATTAAACAGGATTGGGTGGTAAGTCCTCATCCAAGGAAGTAAAATTTTTCAGCAAAGATTTGAAGGAGAGGAGAGAGTTACCCAGCAATTACTTGGGAACAGAGTATTTTACGCAAAAGAAACAGCTAAAGTAAAGGTCATTAGATGGAAGCATGTCAGGCACTTTTGAAAAGTACAAAGTCCTGGTGGCTGAAGTAGAATGAGCAGAGGAACTGAACTCAGGAAGGAAATGGGGTAGAGACAGATTACTTAGAACAAAGGCAAAGACTTGAGCTTTTACTATGTGTGAAATGAGAAGTTCCTGGAAAAATTTGGTTTAAGATAACTTCTTTAAAACTTTCCTCTGAATGCTTGCTGAATACAACCTGTACTAGTTCAGAAGCTATTGCTATAAGCCAGGTAAAAGATGATGGTGGTTTGATTAAGCATGGTATCTATGAAGATGATTAGATGTAGTAAGATTCTAGAATGTATATTAAAGATAGAGCTAAGAAAATTTCATGCCAAGTTGTCATATACATATATACATATATCAAGAGAGGAATCAATGATGATTTCCATTTTTAAGCATGTTCAGTTCTATGTATGAATGAGTTTTCTTTTTTTACTGTTTTACATTAGACATACAATATTTGTTAATTAATAACTCATCCTAAGGCAAAAATTATACCCTTGAGCAATTTATAATCAGAACTTACTTTTAGGACTAAAACATTGTTTCTTTTTTTTGTTGCTTTTGCTTTTTTTTTGAAATCTCACTCTGTCACCCAGACTGGAGTACAGTGGCACGCTCCCAGCCACCTCAGCCTCGACCTGCTGGGCTCTGGCGATCCTTCCGCCTCAGCCTTCCAAGTAGCTGAAACTACAGTTGCTTGCTATCATGCCTGGCTAACTTTTGATTATTGTAGAGGTGAGGCCTCACCAAGATGTCCAGGTGAATCTCGAACCTGCAGGCTCAGGCAATCCACTCACCCCGGCCTCCCAAAGCACTGGGATTACAGGCTGAGTCACCGAGCCCAGCCAAACCACTGGTTCTATATTTTTAATTTTAATTTTGCCTAATTCAGCACTATAATTATGAGACAAAGCTATATCTTAAAATGTCAATGTCACTAAGCAATTTAAGATTATATAATGTTTTCCTTCTCATCTGGAAATATTACCACTGTTTAGCATGGGTAATGCCCTTTGCATTTTAGCTTGCAGAGCACAGGAAGTAAATATGTCCTGGCAAACCAGATATTACATTCATGAAGTGTTTTATAATTTCTGACATGCTTTGACATGTCTTATGTCATCCCATCCTCTCCACAACCCTGGGAGACAGTAGAGAAGAAAACATGTGTAGAAAATTAAAGAGTGCAAGTGACTGAATGGCCAACATGAGCACTCCTTCCTACCTAGGTTCTGCCCCTTCACGTCTGTGTTTTGATCCTGCTCTAACTGTCAAAGGACAGGAAAGTGGGATTGCCCCAGGCCCACTTGAAGCTCAGCATCTCACAAAGGGACCAACTAATCCTGTCCTCATTATCAATGCTCCTGACAATTAGGTTAACAAATCACCTTACTTATTATACTTAATCACATCACCAATCACCCAGTCCTACATTACCCTTTATCTTCCTCAGAACTCTCACTATTTTTGCCATCTTGGTCATATTTCTTATTCAAGAACATCCACCACAGCTTCTTTAGCTTCTTTGCGAAGTCTTAAAAATTGTTTTGAGCACCACAATCAAAGAACTTCAAAAATGAACAAGGCCATCATCTGTAGAAATAAAAGCGTAAGAAGAAAGATACCACTGTAAAGCTCAACAAGATGTTGTGGATACATATATTTTTTTTCCTTTTATTGTTGCGTTCTGAAGCTATCAAAATATAACATGTTTCATTGTTATGGGTCTGGTGGGAAATCTAATAACAAGCATTCATAATGCAAGCATCAGGACCAATCTCCTTAACTCTAGTGTCCTCATCTTCTAATCTTTCACGTAGATGCTGCAATCATCTGGCTCCCAAAATTCAGCTAGGGAAACACAATGGGAATAATAATAATAATAATAATACTGCATTGTGTTTCTTTTCTTTAAATTAAGTCATGCAAGCAATTTAGTTCAGAGACAGAAATGAAGTCTGCTTTTGAAATTTAAAGATAACCTCAGCAAATTTGGCAATCCTGGACAGTTATGGGGGTGGCTGGAGAAGGAAGGCAAAGTTATTTGAGAAAGTAAAAGACATTTAACTATGGAGGAAGAAATTGTTAATGGCTGTAGGAAGACTCGTTTGTAAGAAGTGCAGACAAATGCAAAATGGCATTATTAATAAGTAATTTCATTAAAGAGACCGTTCTTTTCCCCAGGACTCACACCTCTGAATCATCTCGGGGTTCCCTGGCTTCCTAGTTCGCTCTACCCTCCAGCAGTGACGCCCCTTCCCCCAATCCCTGTTTATGTGCCACCGTCAGAAAGAAGCCTATTATCTACCTGCTCCCCAGCTTCTCTCAGAGTGACACACCACCCACGCCTCCCCGCGCAGCTCTCCTCCTTCCGCGGCTCCCGGAGGAAATCTGGGGAGCAGCAGAGGGAGCCCAAGGCTACCCTCGCCTGAACCCCGAAACGACGAGGCTTCCAGACCCTTCCTCGCCCCCCGCGTCTAGGCCCTGGGGGCTCTGCCGCCCCCGCCGCGCGCCGCAGAGTAGGAGCCAGCCCTGCGCTGCGCTTCCAGCTGCGTCTGCCCGAGCGCGGCACGTGCTCCTGGCGCTGGCGCGAGAGAGCGAGCGCCACCGCCGCGGGCCCCGCAGCCGATCTGCCTGCCGTCACCGCTGCCGCCATCGCCGCCACTAGCGCTCCAGCTGCAGCCAAGGCCGCTAGCAGAGCGCAGGAAGCCCGCGAGGAGCGGCTGGCCGGGGGCGCGAGGCTCTTGGGCGCGCACCTGGTAAGCACAGCGCGTTTCTCTTCTCTCCGCCGGGGAGTTTCCGCGGATGCAGGATACCGCCGGAGCCCCTCCCCCAGCGCGGGGACGGGGAGCGACCGGGCAAGGGGCGGGAGCTGGGGCTAAGGAGACCCAGGAGGGCAGGTGGTGGCCAGGTGGAGGACTGGTGAAGCCAGGGACGCGACGAGGTCCTGCAAGTTTAGAAAAGTCACCCTGCAAGGACGTGTGCTGTGAGAATCGGAGAAATACATTTGAGTCAGGAGCCTAGGCTACCGCAGCATTGCTTCAATGGGAGGTTTATGAAGATCATTTTGCTTTTATTTGCATAAGTGAGGGATTTAAGTGGGCTCGTTTCCATAGAAAACGAACTAAAAAAATCAGAGGAAAGAAAAAAAAAAAAATAAAGATCTGAGCCAAAGGAGGCGTTTGGATCTCTCACTCTTTCTCTCTCTCATACCGATACATGTGCATGGAGGGTGTGCATCTAGCAAGGGAGGGGGCTTCGCTATCTTTAAGGCTATTATTGTTTGGGGGACCAAGAGGAGCACATGCTGGTGCTTCACCCCAAAAGAGGCAGAGAAGAAGGAACCTGGCTGGGTGTGAATACCAGTGTTCCATTTCAAAAATGACACTTCCATGACTACAGTACTAGCAGGCACAGGATTTCTAGAACTGTGGGCCATTTTAAGATGGTACACCTGCAACTCTGGACCTAAAAACTCAAGTTCATATACCCCCAGGAGAGCTAGGAAGACAGCTTTACTCTTGTTTGCTTTGAGGAACTTTGGCAAAGGGTGATGGCAGAGAGACATAAGGAGAGACAGAGGGATAAGAAGGGACCTGAATAGACTGAACACACTGAGTGAGGTGGTGGAAGAACAGGAACCTGGCAGTAAGGTTCTGGCATCACTGTGTTCAGTTCCACCTTGGGTTGTCCCAGGGCTGGTCTCTAGATAATTATGTGACCTTGAACAAATCTTTAACCTTTGTGTACTCAATTTCTCCTTTTGCAAAATATAGAGGCTGTTCTGCATTTGGAGACATTAAGATCCCATGCAGTAGTGTCTGTGAATGTGCAGGCTTGAGGATCTGGATGATCTTTGAGGAATAACACCCAAAAAATGTGGATAAAGAAAGCTTCAGGGCATTCTCCTTCAAAGTCTCAAAGGCAAGTCCTTGACCATGCTGTTGTGGGTAACGCATGCTGAGAGGTCCGTGGAAATCACTGAGAATGGTCAGACACCCAGCCTGCAGCCCAGGGAAACTGGAGTTCTGAGAGCTGTCTGGAAAGGTTCAAATCCACAAAACCTAAAGTCATATGTGTGCGTGTTTTTATTTTTTATTTTTAGCATTGAGGAAGACGTCTTGATGACAAGAAAAATGTATGCAAATTCAGTTTAAAGGTTATGAATGCGGTGGTAGGAATAAGGTTTTAGAATGAAATATGAGCGTATTGTAATCTGGGCAGAGGGGTTAGGAGGGAGAAGGGAATGGACGTTGCTCCTGGGACAAGGATTTCTATATCCCTAGGAGGCAACTGGTACCTACCATGTCCTTGACATCTCTTCTGTTTGTCTGAGGAAGACACAGGTATGTTTTCCTCCTCAAAACGGGCTCATTCTTAAAATTTAGGGATTTGCATCCCTGGTGCTGATACATGACAAGGAACATGCGGGAGCTCAAATCCTGGGAGTGCCTCCAGCTCCCTCAGAATATGAGCATCTGGCTGTGGAGCTGGTCCACCCATCCAGATTCGCCAGGAATTTGTGTTCCTAAAGGAACTCACTGTGCCACTTGGTGGCACCAAAAAGTTGCGCAAAGAACTCTGTTCTCTATAAATACAAACTACCATCCCTCCCTCCTCCGCTCTCTCCCCTTCCCCCCTTTCCCCCTTTCACGGTAGCGGGGAGATTGTTGCACACGCCGCCCTCAGCTCGGCTGTTCTGCGCGCGCTGAGCGCAGGGGATGAGCTTGAGATCATCTTGGGTGGGGGAAGCCCAAGACTGGAGAGGCCAGCTCTGCCCTGCCGATCCCGATCCCTGTGGCACAACTTTTCGGGGGGCTAGCTAGACCGCGTCTCACTGCCTGCTGCGCGGCCAACAGGGGGGTAAGCTTTCTAAGTGTTTGCGTACCAAACTATCCCCTGGCCAGAGAAGGATTTGGGAGCTGTTGGCGTGCTGAGTGGCTCACAGTTGGATCTGAGGGAGGGGGACGCGGGTGGAGCGGGGGCGTCCAGACGGCCTGACCTTAGGTAAACCTGTTGGGGAGAAAGACGCGAGCCATTGGTGGAGGGAAGGCTGCAAGGGTTGAGAAAGGGATCCTGCATGCCTTCAGACCCGACTTCGCGCTCCCTAAGGCCAGGAACTCGTGGTTTCCAAGGCAGAGCGCACTCCCCAGACCGTCCGGGGGCTCGGAATTGTGCAAAGAATAGGTGGCAAGGGAAAGAGGAAAGAAAATTGCTTCCCAGTGTAGATGGGTTAGCGGCCGCCGTGCCTGCTGCAGGAAGGGGGACAGCGGGTGGTGCTGAAAGCACGTCTCTTCCACTCAGGCCAGAGCGCCTCTCTCTGAACACCAGTCTCAGTCCTCCCGCGCTTTCCTCTCCCACGGATTTCTCTGTCCTTCGGACACAAAGCCTGATAGTTACCCCAAGGCGGCAGCAAGCACTGCTTGCCGTGGAGGAAGCCCAGGTTACAGCGACGGGGAAGAAAACCTAGGACAGGCCCACGAGTGCGAAGGCTGCCGGGTGGCTGGAGGTTAATCTACATTTGGGACCTCTCAGAGGGAAGTGGAAGGTGCAACGAGAGAGGGCTTTCACCTGTGCTCGTATTTCCGGCTGCCCCAGTTTCCCCTCAGAGCAGGTGGCGTGGAAGGGAAATCAAGGAGAGGATAACAAGCGCTTGTGCTTATTTAGGTACTATCTTGGTGCTGCCTTGACTGAATTATAAGCTCGAGTAGCCAGGTAGATATAGTCTACAACACTTTCCTTTTCATAAAAAACTGACCCAGACCAGTGGAAAGGCAGATTCTCCATGTCACATTATTATTATTATTATTATTATTATTATTAATCCCTACTCGGTGTTCTTGTTCGAAGGCCCTCAGGACTAACTTAGAGCTAATCTGTATCCTTAATGCTGGCCACTGGCCATTTGGAGCAACCAAAGTAATACTGACTTGGATTAAGCACGGCCCTTCCTTCAGTGGGGCATAGGAGGGATTTTCTGTAGAAACCTTAGTTGTACGACCTTCTGCTGTGAGTTTTGGATGTTCAGGTATGTTAGATGTGCTTTGTACCATTCTCTTCATGAAGCACAAGGGGGTTTTGCCTTTAATTTCTCTGTTACATCCATGTAATTGCACACTTAAGAAGCAGCTGTTGCTATTTCTGTCTTTTATGGATGTCGACTTCCATTTAAAAAGATCATTAGTTGGGACTGGAAAATACTGCTTCCTAAACTCAAGTCAGTAGTGTGCATTCCATCAAATCTCCAGCATTCTTCCACAGAAACCTTGTCAGCACTCTGGACAGATCCTTCAAGGTTTCTTGGGCGAAATATGTGCATAGAACACTTCCTAAATAACTGCTTCTCTTAAGGAAAAAGCGTTGCCGAGACATTTACAATCTGCATGGCAAAATATACACACAACCTAGATATTTTAGTTGCAACACCAAGAGCTTTGTGCTATCACATGGCAATGTTTGGCTGTGGGCTATATGCTTGAAAAGAAAACAATTGCTTCAATTTTCATTTATGGAAGGACATATTGAGTTTATATATAAGAGGAAGATGGTATTTCAATAAGCCAAGTACTTGACCAGGTCTTCACTTTACTTCCCTAGGTAGACACAGACCTCTACCATCACTTTGTGGTATGCATGATAGACATGGTGACAAACACCCTAGGGAAAAATGAAACATTCACTCATAGATACTACATTCAATCACCGCAGACTACCCAGACCTTGGGAATACTTGGGTACTTAAATACCATTTTCTGTTTTTGCTCTGGTTATTAACATTTTTTGTTTCCTAATACAATAATTTATCTCATTAAACATGCTTACTCTTGTGACTAAAGTGTTTTAGTAATTCTACTTTTTAATTTTTCTTCCAGACATTCTTATAAAAGTCTTAATGCATTGTTCTTTAAGAAATAGTCATTTTCGATAGAAAAACAAAATTAAATACCAATAAGAGGTAGGTGATACTACAAGTAGAAAAGGTGAAACAAAGTTAATTAGAAAAACTATTGCATGTATTTGCATACTCATTTTATCCCAGGTTTTCTATCTTCATGGAATAAAGGAGACATATTCAAATATTCCTCTTTATACATGTTACTGTGATATACACATATAATATATATTTATCTATATCTCTATATTGGTAGATAAGGTATACATCAACTTTACAAAATAGTAAGGACTACCTTTTGATATATGTTGATATATATGTAATATATGCCCAAACCAATTTTGTTTGTTTAGAGTTTGGATGTATGTAAAGTGGATTTTTACAAAGCAGAAACATCTACAGCTTGAAAATAGTGTGTACTTTTTCAAAATCAGAGAAATATTAATCTTAGTCCTGAGGCATCATTTAGTTGTCATTTTAGTCAGTGAGTGGAACTTAGGAGAACATAAGGTTACAGGAGCATAAAAAGGAAAATCTTTAGTTCAAGTTGATTTTTAGTTCATGATCTGTTTGTATAATCCAAGAAATGAATATATAAATTTTGTTTTGAATTTTTATCTATTTGTATATCAAATACCACTTTCTTGATATTTCTTTATCTCAGTTATTTAATAACTGTGTTTCTAAAAATCCTTATGAGCAGGACTCGGTGGCTCAGCCTGTAATCCCGCGCTTTGGGAAGCTGAGGTGAGTGGATTGCTCTGAGCCCACGGGTTCGAGACCCGCCTGGGCAACTTGTGAGACCTCATCTCTACAACAACAAAAAAAAAGAAATTAGCTGGGCGTAGTAGCACGCACCTGTAGTTCCAGCTACTTGGAAGGCTGAGGAGGAAGGATCACCGGAGCCCAGCAGGTCAAGGCTGCGTTGGCTGGGAGCGGCCACTGTCCTTCAGTCTGGGTGACAGAGTGAGACTCCAACACAAAAAAACAAAACAAAAAAACATTATGACATAGGCTTGCTTTCATTTTTTTTTTTTTTTGTAGAGATGAGGTCTCGCTGCCCAGGCGGGTCTCGAACCCACGGGCTCAGGCAACCCACTCACCTCAGCCTCCCAAAGGCGTGGGATTACTGGCTGAGCCTCCGAGCCTGGCTCATTTTTTTTTTAATTTACAGAGAGGAGAAAAACTTTATATTTTATCAGTCTTAATTTTGAATTATGTGCATCTTTGGTCAAAAGGGACACCAGGCAAAAGTCTTGATGCAGACTCATCCTTGCTGTAATAATCACCATTTGTTAAGTACATCAGGTACCCTGCAAAGCACTAGATATGTTATTTTATTTAGATATAAAGTACTAGATATGTTATTTTATTTAATCCATACATGAATAAGGTATTATTTATTTTCAATTTTCTGTTGCAAAAACTGAGTTTTTTTTTACTGTCACAGAACAAGGACTTTGAAAAGCAATATATATGTTATTTATACATTATATATATATCCTATATTATATAATATATATTATATATATGATTTTTAGAATTCAAACTTACCCTGTTTTCATTATACTGAGATACTTTAATCCATGGTGTTACTAAACATAATGGGATTATTTTCCTGTGGTTTCCAGTGAATTGTAGTATGATGGGAAGTATAGACCCTAGTTTCAGATTGCCTGATTTTCAGTACTAGCTTTGTGGTTCACTGGCTATGTGGCCCTTGGCAAGTTACCTGAATTTCTGTGCCTTAGTTTATTTATTTTCAAAATGAGGAAAAAGTTGTAACAGTATTAGCATAATTGAGTGAGTATGATGAAATAATTGCATGAATATTAAGTGCCTGACCCATAGTGAATCCAGTGTATAAATATTACCTATGACTATTAATCCCATCCAGGCCTCTGGATATAAAATGTTTTACTGGTTTCCTAGGTTATTAAATTTAATGTTCTCAAGAACCATATGGACTACATTCTATTTTTATTTTGTAAATTTAACAATAAAATGCAAGCCTACGAGATTAAGTCATTCATCCAAAGTCTCACAACTTACAAAATAACAAAGAGAGTGTTTGAATCCAGAACCATCTGATCTCCAAGTCTTTATGACACCAATGCATAACTTGAATTTATATTTAATTTTTTGAATTCTACTAATTTTGAGTCATCACCATTTCCTTCCTCTGCAAAGGAGTGTGCAAACTTTTCCTTTTCTTATGTATTCAAGAATATTTTTGAATAGGCACACAAATGCTTGAAGATAATAAAAATCAAAATAATACAAATATCTTTTGTTTTTTAGTCAAACTATACAATAAATGTAAAGGAAAGACTTAGACGCAAAAAAGTGTATTTAGGTAGATATGATTCTGTTGGTACTGTAAAGACATCAGATCTAAGAAGAATCATCTAATAATTGTCACAATAATTCTGGTCATAAGCCACTGACTTTAAAATTTTGAGCATAAGCATTCTGAGGAAAATGGAAAGTTTATAATCAAAATGATTAGTGGTCAGTGTAACAATATAACTTTCTTACAATCATTATATTTTGCACAAGAAAAATACAAAATATTTATAAAAATTGATTTTCCTTAATAAACAGTAATGTAGTTGAATTCTGTAAAGACACATAAGTAAATAGTATACTATTATATTATTTATTTTAAAATAAAAGGATCATCAAATTTTGGAAAACCAATGTGTAAATTATTATATAAGGTTATCATTCTTGTTATAACCTTGTTATTATTATTATTATCATTTTTATTTTTTGAGTTGGAGTCTCACTCGGAGCCTCGACCTGCTGGGCTCTGGGATCCTTCCGCCTCAGCCTTCCGAGTAGCTGGAATTACAGGCACGCGCTACCACGCCTGGCTAATTTTTGATTTATTGTAGAGATGAGGTCTCACCTGCCCAGGCGGATCTCGAACCCGCGGGCTCAGGCAATCCACTCAGCTCAGCCTCCCAAA